TTTTTTTTCTTTCTTTTTTTTTTGAGACAGCATTTCACTCTTGTTGCCCAGGCTGGAGTGCTTTTTTTTGATCTTTTTTTTTTTCAACCTCTGCCTCCCGGGTTCAAGCAATTCTCCTCCCTTTTTTTTTCAAGTTTTTTTTTTTACAGGTGTGCGGCACCACACCCGACTAATTTTGTATTTTTTTTTTTGACAGTTTTTTTTTTTGTTGGTCAGGCTGGTCTTGAACTCCCGACCTCAGGTGTTTTTTTTACCTTTTTTTTTTTTAGTGCTGGGATTACAGGCGTGAGCCACCGCGGCCGGCCTTTTTTTTGTATTTTTTTTTTTTTACTAGAGTTCATAAGAGTGACCAAGTCCAAGATAAAATTTTTTTTATCCATTTTTTTTTTATCAATAATAGCCAATTAGAAAATGTAACGGAAGAGAATTTTTTTTCCATCTTTTTTTTTTCAAAAATAAAAGGTATCTCAGAATTATCCTAATAAGCATTTTTTTTGGCACTTTTTTTTTTGGTGTGTTCCTGTAGTCCCAGCTACTCAGGAGGCTGAGTTTTTTTTGACAGTTTTTTTTTTGGAGTTCAAGACCAGTCTAGGCAACATAGTAAGACCCCTTTTTTTTATAACTTTTTTTTTTATTTTTTAAAGAAGAAATGTGAGTGATATATATGGAAGTTTTTTTTAACTGTTTTTTTTTTTAAAAAGATAATCTGAATATGAGACGTAACATGCTATTTTTTTTTTAAACCTTTTTTTTTTATGAAGTCACTTCTCCCTAAATACATCCTGAACAGGATTTTACTTGGAACTTTACAAAATGAGACTAAAGAATACATTTTGGTGAAATAAATTATCAGCTTTTTTTTGATCTTTTTTTTTTTCTGATCTAACAAGAAATGATCTAATAAGAAAACTGAAATTTTTTTTTAGCCTTTTTTTTTTTGTAATGTCATATAAGGAAACAAAAGTCAAGAGTAGGTCCTGGGAGGAGGGGTTGGGAACTGGGCATTAGTGTTTTATGGGGCAGTTTCCATGTGGGATTTTTTTTTAGGTTTTTTTTTTTTATTGTGGAGATGGTCTGCAAAACAATGTGATTGTACTTTTTTTTTTTAAATTTTTTTTTTTAAAATTACTAAAACTGTAAGTTTTATGTTATGTATATTTTTTTTTTACAATTTTTTTTTTTAGATACCTGGATAAGAACAGAGTAGATAGCAATGGATGTTTTTTTTTCCATTTTTTTTTTTATTTTGAAAAAGGGAAAATTTAACCAGTAAGTGTTTGATTTTTTTTATAGCTTTTTTTTTTTCTAGAAAAACAAAATTAGACCACTCTCAAAATACATGTTTTTTTTTCTGATTTTTTTTTTAATATTTTTTAAATATTCTTAAATTTAGAGTAAAATGCTTTTTTTTTTTAGTTTTTTTTTTTGGAATTAAATATTTATCAAATATTCAAGCCAAAGATAAATCACAGAAGAAAATTATAGCATATTTTACTGCATGAAGTTAGAAACTTGAAAGTGAAACTTTTTTTTATACTTTTTTTTTTTAATATGTGTATTCAATATCACAGAGTTAATATCATTATTTTTTTTTGACTATTTTTTTTTTAGGAACACATTAGATTTTATGTAAATGGACAAAATACATTTTTTTTCAATTTTTTTTTTTTTTTTTTTTTGAGACGAAGCCTCACTCTGTCGCCCAGGCTTTTTTTTAGTGGTTTTTTTTTTGCTCACTGCAAGCTCCGCCTCCCAGGTTCACGCCATTCTTTTTTTTCAGCCTTTTTTTTTTCTGGGACTACAGGCGCCCGCCACCACGCCTGGCTAATTTTTTTTTTTTTTGTTTTTTTTTTGGTTTCACCATGTTAGCCAGGATGGTCTCGATCTTCTGTTTTTTTTTCCGCTTTTTTTTTTCTCCCAAAGTGCTGGGATTACAGGTGTGAGCCACTGCGTTTTTTTTACAATTTTTTTTTTTCAAAGCTAGAGAGAGTGAAATTCAGTAAATATATTTTTTTTTTTTTAGCCTTTTTTTTTTTTAAAGATACGCAAATTAAAGCAGCAACAGTGCATCTTTTTTTTTTTTAATTTTTTTTTTTTAGAACAACTTACATGATATTTATCATGCGCTGATATTCTTTTTTTTTGGATTTTTTTTTTTTTACAGCTGTTTATAAAACTATTTGTCATTAGGTATTATTTTTTTTAAACATTTTTTTTTTGGAAAGAGCTCTTCCTTGAAGTAGAACTCCATGTGAGATTTTTTTTGAAACTTTTTTTTTTAGTAGGTCCTGGGAGG